CACATGCCACCATCATGCCTAACAAAAACAAAAATAAACACCTGATTCTTTTTTGCTTGCCAGGTAAGCTCTTCCACTGAGCTATGTCCTTACACATGTAACCAGAAAACTTTCTATTATACAAGCAGAGTAGCCTGTTTAAGGTTCACCACCTCTGATACATACACACACACACACACACACACACACACACACACACAGACACACACACACACACACACACACACACACACAATACCACAGTACTTGCATAGGCCATGGTAAGGCTTCCCAAAACCCTTGCATCTTTGTTGTCTCCTGGCTCTTCTCAGGTCTCCAGCCAGATGGGCCTTTTCCTTAAACTCACTGGTCCCTATCCTAATTGAGGCCTTCAAACAAGCATTCCCTGTGTCTAAAGTTCTTCCTCACTGCCTCCAACTGCACTGCCGCCTAGGCCCACTTAGTTAGGGTGATTTGTCCTTCAGTTCTGCTTACTTAAAGCAGCCTTCCCCAACAATCCTAACTAACCTCCCTGATGTTTCAAAGCCTACCCCAAACACTTGGAACATGCTTCTAACTACTTATCCAATCATTTTTACAGCCAGACAACAGGCTCAAGGAGGATAAGAAAGCTGTCTTCCTTGTTCATCACTGCATCCCCTGTTCTTAGCACAGTGGTAGTCTACAATAGGTAGCTAGTAAATGAAATTAACATTAGACGTTGCTGGCGGTAGAATACTTGCCCAGAACACTCTAGGCCTGGGTTGATCCCCAGTACCACAAAAGAAAAATTAATCACATTTTCCAAAGATTTAAAGGATGAAGGGATAAACTAAACTTCTCTTCAATTTGACACTGTTATCCCTTATGAAGTTGTCCACATGCAGAAACACACGAACTACACAAAAAGAGGCATGGGTTGTGAACTCCTTTCGGAGAAGAATTCAGAAGATGCCTGGATAGGGATATGTATGTATTTTAAAGTAACAATATGTCTATAAAAATTATTTTAAAAATTAAGCTTCAGGGAAAAAAGTAATAACGTCTTCATGCAAGCCTACCATTCCCACTCAAACATGTTCTTTGGGGGAGACCAACCAGCAAAGGAGGGCAGAGAAAACAAGAAGTATGTCCTAAGCTAGTACCATTCTTTTCCAAAGTAAATTTACCTTCTAATGAAAGAGAACTTGTTGAATCCTTCTAAGTACATCCGGAAAAGTAGCCAGTGGTATGATGAACTTCTATGAAAAGCAAGGGACATACAAGCCAAAAAGGAACAAGCAGCTAGATGGAAAGACAGCTGCCTCTGCCTGCCTTGCCACTTTGTCCTGGCATCACTCAGCATATTAACTTCTCTTACTTGGGGAAGAAAAAAGTAGACCATTTTACAACAGAATAGATGGTATGAGCATCACATGACAAAGATTCCAAAAGACTCTTCTAGAGAAATTTTAGTGCAATGAGGGATACACAAGGACAGTCAGGAAAGGACAGATGGGAGGGAGGGAGGGAGGGAGGGAGGGAAGGAGGGAGGAAGAGAAAAAGAAAAAGAGAAGGACCAGCAATTAAACTTAATTCAAGGGCATAAAATGCACACCTCTTGGAGCTTAAGAAGACTTCAAAAATGAAAATGGAGTGGTGTACATTAGACAGAATGCTAATCAGCTTCTGGCATTCAACAAACGGAGGCCCAGCTTGAATTTATCCACATCTAACACAATCTCTCTGAACACAATCTCACTGAAGATCCCCGAAGTGAAGGCCAGGTCTTTTAAATTCTCTGGTAGTGATGATGGGGAAAACAAACAACTCTCTGCTAATTACCACACTCTGCAGAGGAAGGAGACTTTGGGCACACCCAACAGGTGCACTTTTGTTTGTAGTGTCCTGTGACCCCAAAGTTATCATGCCTACTCTTCCCAGACACATGTCCATAAAACAGTATCCTCACATTACCCTTAAACATTTCTCATCAAGGAAAGGGTAGGAAAATCTGTCTCCAACTTTAACAGATAACGAGCCCATTCCTGGTTTCAAATGTATCCCACTGAAATGTTAAATTCTTAACCCATTTCCCATAATAAAAAGTTTAATCCTAAAATGGTACCTAGCAGTTTATATAGCACATATTAAACACTAGTTGCTCAAATGAAAAAAAAATGCTTATGAATCATCTTCAAAGCTGAGGAATAGTTTGAACCTCAAGATATTTAGAAAGTGCTTCCAGAAATTGCAAAGGGGTCAGAGTGCTATTTTTAAGCCACCCAGCTTGGTAAGGTAAGAAAACGGCTGCTAATACCTGCATTCATTTTACAATTATTTGAATTTGAAACAAAAGCAATGTTGGGCGAGAAAGACAAAGCCCCAATGCATAGTTGGGGGATTTGGAACTGCGGGGCTGGAGCTGGGCTACCTCGGTCAGCAGGGAGATGACCTGCCCGGGACTAGGGAAGTGTCCGCACTGGATGAAGGACTTTCGCCTCTCTACTGCAGGGGACTGCAGGCGTTCACTTCAAACCCTCCGACCCGCCTGCTGGCCAGGTGAGCCCGCCCCCGGGTTAATCTGCGAGATTTCGGGAGGAGGGGGAGGGCCCACAGCGGGCTCCCGGGGCACCCTGCCTTTCCGGGCACCCCAAATCTCCTCAAGGCTGCGACCAGCTCCCTGCAGGGCCGCGCAGTCCAGCGGAGGTGGAGGCGACCGGGAAGAGCGCGGCCCGGGGAGAGCGGCAGGGACCTCAGACAAAGGCCCTGGCGCGGCCACTCACCACTCAGATAGTTGGTCCATTTGTACAGCACGCCCTCCATGGCTCCCGCGGGGCGCCCAGGCCGCCCGTCCGCGCGCGCCCGGCCCCTCACGGGCCCAGGGCCCACAGCAGCGGCGTGGCCATCGTCCTGCGCTGCCCAGACGCCCACGGCCGGCGCCCGGGCCCGCAGCGGGGACTGCTGGCCCGCCTCACATCCTCGGCCCGGGGGCGGGGTCACCGCGGCGGCCTAGGCGCCGGCAGCCGGGAATCACGCGGGCGGAGAGTTGGGGGGTGGACAGGCCGTCCGTAGGGAGGGCGGCTGGAGCGGAGCGGCTGAGGGGCTGAGGGACCGAGGAACGGAGCGACAGTGGGGTTGAGGCTCGGAAGAGCGCTGCCGCACACGCGTCGAGCTACCTCAGCCGAGGGCGCCCACCCAAGCGCGCTCGCACATGCCCACTGAGACCCCGCGCGCACGTTCCCAAATCCTGCCCGAGTTTGGCGGAGGCTCCCGGGACGCCAGCCCCCCGAGGAAACTGAGTTCGCGGGGAAAATGAGTTCCGGGTGCTCGCTTACGGGTGGGCGGCGCTTGAGGGAAGAGAACGGCAGGTCCTGGAGCGGGACACCGAGTATAAATGGTGCCGGAAGTGGGTAAGGGTCTGGTTGTCAGAGGTCTGTGTGCTTTAGGTACCTGGTGGATTCTAGTCCCCCAAGGGTGCAGTTTTTAATGTTATAACGATTGGGCGCAGCGACCTTTGGACGAGAATACGGGCATTTCTGGTTAGAATCCTTCTGTAAATAGGCGCTATTCAAACTCCAAGGACTCTACTGAAAGTGTGGTCTTTGGACAGCTGGCATTGACTTCACCTGGGTATCTGTGAAAAATACCTTTAATCCCAGCTAAGGAGGCAGAGGCAGGCGAATCTCTGGGAGATCAAGGACAGCCTGCTCTACATGATGAGTTCCAGGCCAGCAGGGGCTACATAGTAAGAGCCTGTCTCAAAAACATGAAAGAAAAAAAAAAGGAAAAGAAAGAAGAAAGAAAGAAAGAAAGAAAGAAAGAAAGAAAGAAAGAAAGAAAGAAAGAAAGAGAAAGAAAGAAAAGAAAAAAACCCCGCTGAATCTCGTCCCAGATCTTTTATATCAAAAATATCCATTTTGACAAGAGCCCTAGGGAGAATTCCTGTGCAAATAAAAGTGTGAAAATGCACTGTTGTCAGGATATTTGACTAAGAGAAGTGTTAATCACAGGTTAAGTGGAAGGGGAAGGTTAAGAGCGTGATACAATCCAAATGGTTTAGGTGTAATGTAGGCACTGAAGTGCTAACATGATTATTTGTGGGCATTTTTTTCTTTTTCCATAATGTAAGGTTGTCCGATTTAGCAAATAAGGATAGCGCAAGTTATTTACCCGAAACTCAAATATTGATTAGTGTGCATCCCTCCTCTCTCGTCCCCACAAACCTACAGATCCTCCTTTCCAGTTTCCGTCTACAATGTATTGCATTCGAAGCTAGGTGAACCGGATAGGAGATTTAAGCTGAGGAATTTGTAAACACAATTAGCATTTCTTCTTTAGGGACGTCCTTAGTCTTATTTACTCGCTATGCTACGGGCTCTCGGGTGATGAATTATTAGCAGTCCTTAACGGTGGTGCTGAAGAATGAATCAGGTCTAGTCTTAAGGCGGAGCTCAAACGCTTTGTAGTCAAGTGAGCTTAAACTGGCGGGTGACCTCGCCTAGTCTAAATTTATTTATCTCCCAATAGGAGAAAATAACTCGTGTTGGTAGTGAGGCTTGAGCATCAGGAATGCGCTTTGTGAACCTTAAAGCACCTGGTAAATCCTTACAGTTTACATCCTAAATTAATAAGCAATAGCCCCGAGCCTTTGCTTGTGGCACCTTGGGGGGTTGCTCGCCAACTGGGGGGAGGGGGGGCTTTCCTGAAACTCCTAGGGTGTCGGGCCCTAGACTCCCCTTCCGTGGCTTAGTAGGAATTCTTCACGGAAGTAAAGCCGCTAGGGCAGCTTCCGGCTAGCTCTGTACCCCACTGCTGTCCCAAAATGTGAAAACGCTTTAATCCCCAGGCTCTAAGGTGGTGAGGGGGTGCGGGGTGGAAGGGAGGGTGGCTCCCCGCTGGTCGGCTGTCGGGCTCTTGCCCACCGCAAAAGCCTGCACTACTGCGGTACCATTGGCTTAAGGAGCCTGAGGGACAGTACCACCAGCCAATGGAAGGTCGCCCTTCTCAAGCGGCGGCCTCATCGCAACCAATCAGCTCCGGGCTTGGCTTTAACCCTTTAAAGGTGAGTTAGCAATGAGTGGGAAAGTTGTTGGTACTAAAAGTGCCACGTCTTCTTAGGCTGGGAAGTCGTGAACTTGCCCCAGGCCGCTGTCTCTGAGGCGTCAGCTACTTTTTTTTTTTTTTTTTTTTTTTTTTTTTTTAACTCTATGAAGTCGGGAGCCCTTTCTCTAGTTTTGTAGGAACTTCTTTCCAGCTCCAGCAACATGAGGTTTTTCTTTTGGAACTCGATCTTGACGCTGTTGATTACGTCTTTGAGTGGGGCTCTGATCCCTGAACCAGAAGTGAAAATTGAAGTGCTCCAGAAGCCGTTCATCTGCCATCGCAAGACCAAGGGAGGGGACCTGATGTTGGTCCACTATGAGGGCTATTTAGAAAAGGATGGCTCCCTCTTCCACTCCACGTAAGTAATTATGCCTGACTGGCAAAAACTTTAGAGGATGCACCCACCCACACCAGCTTTCCTGCTGGAAAGCTAATTTCACCTTTCTTTAAAAAAAAAAATCTGACATACCTGCTTCCATTCCTGAATGGAAAATTGTCAAAAAGCCTTGAAAGAACTTACTGAAAATGTAGTCTTGATGAATTAATTTTCTCCTAATCGTGTTTGTTATAAAATTAGAACTAGAATCTAAGAAGTTTTACAGAAATAACTAGGTTATAATTAAGCAATAAGTAGAAAAGATTTAAAAGAAGTTTTACACCTTAAACTCCATTCTTGGAGGGCAGAGGGGTCAACTCTGGAAATCATCCTTCCAGGATACCAATCAGTGATAGGATCATCACTGGAGTTAAAAGCCAAATACTTGTTATAAAGTACATCTTCAAATTAAATATTTTTATTGCTCTTTTTGTCCTTCTCAAGCTGAGTCATTTTATGAATTTTGCATCAAGAAAAGTGGGTAGTGAATTGAATTGCTGTGAAATTGACTTGGGTTCAAAGAAAGAATAACTGGTTCATTAATTTCCAAGTCAATATGCTTAACCACTTATGGTGAAAAAAATGCACCACAACATTTTTTAAAGTTACTAAAAAAAAAAAATCTCTGATGTTTAAAGTGCTTGTTCATCATGATGGGGCCCTGGTTTGAAGTCCTATTGCTTAAAAAAAAATCTAATGTGTTTTCTTTCTATCATAGTCACAAGCATAACAACGGCCAGCCCATCTGGTTTACCCTGGGCATTCTGGAGGCTCTCAGAGGCTGGGACCAGGGCTTGAAGGGGATGTGTGTGGGAGAAAAGAGGAAGCTAATCATTCCTCCAGCCCTAGGCTATGGCAAAGAAGGAAAAGGTAAAATTGTGTAGCCATCACCACTGTGTAACTAGAATGGCTCTGCCTCTGACTGAAACTCACCAATTCATTTTAACAGTGCAACAAGAGAGACCATTCACTATAAGTATTTTTGCTGATTTAAACGTTCGGAATATACATTATTAAGGCATTGGGTTTATGTGTGGGCTGTATATATGGATTACAACCAGGAAGTCTACTATATTTCTTTCTTGCTTTTAGCTTTTAAATGAATTTGTAAAGCTTTTAACAGTTTATTTTAAAAATAATGTAGTTACTTGATTTTAATTCTCTCTGTGTTACAAGCTGGCTAGCTAGTCTAAACAGCTTTTGTGCCAATTTGCTCCTAGGCACAGACACCTGGTATTTGAAAGGGACTTCACACAGGTCTCCAAGGGGCTGTTGATGCTGCTTATCAACTGGCCTGCATATGTAGTATCCTCATTGAAATCTAAACTATGAAGAGACAGATTAGTGAGCAAGAATGTCTATCACTGCATTGGTTTGATAGGGGGGAGGGGAAAAAGGACCAACCTTAGTATATAATGTTGAGTATAGCTAAATAAAATATAACCCAGATCTTAAAATGCCATTGGCAAAGATTAAAAATTATATTCGGGTGGGTGGTACACACCTTAATCCCAGCACTTGGGAGGCAGAGGCCGGTGGATCTTCATGAGTTTAAGGCTAGCCTGGTCTACATAGTGAGTTCCAGGCCAGCTGGAGCTATAGGAAAACCCTGTCTCAAAAAGACAAAAAAAAAAACAAAACTATCATCTATCTATCATCTATCTATGAAATGACATAAAAGTAGAAAACAAGTTACTGTATATCTAGCTTTCTCTGCATGATTGGGGGAGGTATATGCACAATAAAAGTAAATCACAATAAATAAAAGTATTCACAATGAACTGTGATACTGAGAATTATATTGATTTCTGATTTTATCTTCCAAATTCTCTATGAAGAATGTGAATTGCTTGTGCAATGAAGAAAAAACAATGAACCAGTTTTCAGATGCAGATAAAGAACCACCCTGACGAGGTATAAGTAGCCCTCCCAGCAGCATCAGGCTGAAGCTTCACCACCACAAAGAAGCAGTCAGGATTCCTTGCCCCAGTTTCCTAAGAAGGCAGCTAGTGCTGTGTATGAATCATGAGATATTTTAAAATAGAGCTAGCTATAGAAACCAGATTCCATAGACTTGGAATTATTACACAAATTAAATTTTAATGTTAATCATGATCTTTATCTAGCATGTAGGAAATGTCTCTCTAAGCCTAGAAGTATTCTTTCACTTTTGTCATCTTTTTTTCACCATTAATATTTATATATGTAACATTAGTAGTGTTATTCTAGCCCTTTCTCTGCTGTATTTAGCTCAATTTTTCTTCATAAATGAAAAGATCTAAATCAGTCAGTTCCTTCAACTGTGTGCCATGAAACTAACTCTGAATATGTATTTACTACTAATTTTGTAGCGCTTTAGTACATACTTGCATGCCTCCTTGGAAAGATACCAGCTTTCCCACCGCTCTAGTGCATGTCCCTCCCCTGTGTGCATCTGCAACGGTAAGCTTCGGCTCATAATATGAGTGTTTTTTTCTCTTGGAAACTTATAATGCTGTTTCATGGAACTGCGAGGGGCAGGGAGAAAACTAGAACACATTTAAGGAGTCTTCGTAGACTTGTATATAAGGAAGCAACTTTGAAAAAGGTCCACAATTCCAAGAAGGCTTTGGTTCTTTGTTTTTATTTGTTAGTTTGTTGCTTTTGCTGGTTCTTTAACCAAGCTCTTTTTACTTTTAAAGATTTGCTATCTTTCTTTTCAGAAAACTCTTCAACATATCTTTAATTTTCTATGTCATGGGGTATTTTCTAAGTTTTTGAAAGTTTTGAACATTCTTACTTAATTTTTTAAATCTAGAAGAAAATTATATCACAGTAACATATCAAGAACTTATTGTTTACCAAGAATAATTTTATTTTTGCAGGGGTTTTCCCATTTATTTCTCTAACACACTCCTAAGGTAAAAAATATTATTTTACAGATTTTACAGGTAAGGAAACTGAAGCCTAGAGGTGGCAGATGTGAAATTCAGTTATGTCATCAGAGCTCACCATAACGTATACTGCCCCCTAGTGGTGGGAATGACAACACCAATCATAGGTATTTAAAGATCATGACTTTCTGCCCCAAATTAGTAAATCACTTATTATATAATTAATTCTAAATTATCCAAAGCCCTTTAAAGGTCATTCTTGACATCCAACATGCAGAATCTTAGTTATATTTGAAACTTACCATCAAGACTTTTAGGAATATCTGCATATATGTCTGAGTATGTGTTTTATTGCTAAGACAAAACCAGAATCCTTTCGCTCATCTAGTCCGAATGGATTAATCCTTCTTTTTCTTTCTTTTCTCAATGACACTTAATGCCAGTGTAAGTAATTTCTGCCATATGTGACAATCTTAGGGAGTCTCTACATTGGATGCAGTTAAAATGTCTTGTACGTTACCACAACTGATTTTGTTATGAAAACTTTTGAACTTTTTTAAATAAAAATTTCCCTCTCTCCTAATATCAGGTAAAATTCCCCCAGAGAGTACACTGATATTCAACATTGATCTCCTGGAGATTCGAAATGGACCAAGGTCCCACGAGTCATTCCAAGAAATGGATCTCAATGATGACTGGAAACTTTCTAAACACGAGGTGGCCTTTCCTTTTGCCTCTGCTCCTTCCTTCCTTCCTTCCTTCCTTCCTTCCCTCCCTCCTTCTTCTTCTTAAAGCTTACTTTTTTTAAAGAAAAAGTTTTAAAAGATTTTTAAAGAAAATTTCTATTCATGTGCATATGTATGTGTGTATGTGTCTGCCACATGGGTGTAGGTGCCCTCAGGGGCCAGAAGTGGGCATGGGATCCTCTGGAGCTGGAGTTACAAGTGGTTGTGAGCCACTAGACATGGGTGCTGGGAATGGAACTCTGGTCCTCTGAAAGAGCAGTAAGTACTCTTAACTGCTGAGCTATCTCTCTAGCCCTGAAAATTAATTTATTTTTTATTTAGGTAAAAATGTTATTTAGAAATTTTCATAAAGTACTTATGCTTTGAAAATTGTCTCTTTTTCCATAGGAAATCATTGCTTCAGGGAGAACTACATTGAGACCTAGAAAGCACGAATTAGTCTTTTGCCTTTTCCCTTCTCACTGGCCTTGCATTGGTTGTGTTGTCCTCACCCTTGGGTCTTGGAAAACTGCATTTTGCCCTGACAGTTCCCATTTGGAGTTACTATATGAGAAACAGATATCCTGAGAAGTCTTCTCTTGTGTAGACATTCCTGCTCTCTCTCACCATGACAGACTGGCTGTTGAGTTTTGTACTCCTTCTTTCCATCAGGCATGTCCAGGCTTGTGAGGTGAATCCCTGGAAGAAGGGATTTCTGGGTTTTCCACAGAGGAGTTTTCCCCAGTCACCCCCAGTCCCTGCACAGACTGTAGTAATCTGACTTTTGTGGAGAAAGAAGTGGCGGTAGATACGTACCCTATGTATTTTAATCTACCTACACTCTGAGTCTGCCAGGGCCAGGCTGATACCCAGTCCTTAATGTTATAATCAGTTTCACTCTAAGGACCAGGAAATGATTGAGTCTCAGATAAGCCAAGTTACTATGAACCAAGGGATTAGGATCAACACTAGTGAGTTTTTCCTGTTTCTTTGTAGGTTTTGTTGTTGTTGTTGTTGTTGGTGGTGGTGGTGGTGGTCTTCGTCATGGTGTGTGTTTGTTGTTTTGGTTGAGACAGGATTTCCCATTCTAGCCTAACAGGTTTTGAATTTGTGAACCTCCTGCCTCAGCTTCCCAAGTGCTGGGATTACAGGCCTGCCTCATGAGGTTTCACATCTCACGGTGTTCACAGTCATATACATTGTTTTTTTCCCCATCCAAGATAAATTGTAATTCTCTCTCACTAAAAAACATTTGAATATATAACATATTCCTATGAGGTTTTTTTTTTTTTTTAAATCACTATAAAGTGTTATTAAGAAGTCTTGGACTGGGGATGTAACTCAGTTGAAGGGAACTTGTCTCGCATGTACAAGGCTCTGAGATCAGTCTGTACCCCAAGAAAGAAAAAAATCAAAAAGTGTTTATTGTACCTATATCACTGTTTTCTTCTCAGGACCCCACCCCCATCCAGGTGTATTAGTCTCTAATATATTCTTCCAGTATTATGCAAATGCATAATCTTATTTCCTCCTTTCTACACAAAAGGTAGCACAATAAGACAGCTTGCTTTATTTAGAGTATATCCCAGAGATAGAGTCTACATTAAGAGTTTCTTCTCCTCTTCATCTACCTCCTCCTGCCCCTCCCCTCCTTCCTTTCTTTTCAACTGCATTGAATTACTTTAACCTTGACAAACAGCATATGTTTATATATCGGAGTTTGAAGAGAGAGGACTTGAAATTTCTAAATAGATGGAGTGAGGATGTGATTAGAAATGATAATACTGGAAGATGACTCAGTGATTAAGAGCACTGGCTGCTCTTGCAGAGGATCCAGGTTCAGTTCTCAGCACCCACATGGCAGCTAACAACTATCTGTAACTCCAATTCCAGGGAATCCCATGCCCTCTTCTGGCTTCAGTGGGCACTGCATGCATGTGGTACACTGTGTGTGAAGTGTATGCATATGGTCCATACACATGCGTATGCAATACATGTACTCATGAGCACGCATGCAGGGGTTCGAGCAGGATGCTGGGTGTCTTCCTCTGTTACTTTCTGCCTTACTGCCTGGTGGCTCTCACTGAACCTGAAACTCACCATTTCACCCAGGCTGACTGGCCAGCAAGCTCTTGAGATCTCCCTGTTTTCACTCCCCAGTGCTGAGGTTACAGGCATGGACAACCACATGTACTTTTTATGAGTCCTGGGGATTTGTACTCAGGTCCTCATGCCTGCACAATAAATGCCCTTACCCACTGAGCCATCTCCCCAACTCCTTTATTATATTTTTAAAGAAAATTGCAGAGTAGGCACTCATCAGGCTAGGCTTTGCTTTGATTTCTGAGCTTCAGGGGCCCTAATTATTCTCTGTTGTGGCATGAGCACACCAAATCCACCATTCTTTCTACTAGACCTATGTTCAGATAGAAAAGGAGAAT